GAGTCGGCGGAAATCCAATGTTTCGGTGGGTGACAGGTAACTCCACAAGTGTCGATACTGGCGGAAACTAACGCATCTTTGATATGCGCCCACTGCGAATCGAAATCACCGTCAATAGTTGAGCCAAGCAAGGTTGACAGTGAGGCTTGGTACCTGGTTAAAATCGCAACGTTTTGTGGATTCGCGACGTCCGGTCGGTAGTGGGCGCGCTTAGGTGATCCTCCGAAACGCATGCAAATCTTAGCACGAACCAATGCGTGATCAGAGTCTAGAAAAGTTGACCAGTACGATCGGCAGTCCGTTACGCTTCCGCGCCATCTGTAGCTGATTGCTATGTGGTCAAGCTGGGAGCACTCTTGCGTTTGTGAGGGCGGGCACCAGGTAGCAGTGTGTCTCCTCGAGTGTCGAAAACTAGTGCTCGAAAGAAACAAGCGGTGATCAGAGCAAAGAGCAAGCAATCTGTCTCCATTGTCTGATCGACTGCCACCGAGACCAAAACTACCCCCAATGTGGTGCTCGCTTGGTAGAAGGCGGCCAACCCGTGCGTTAAAGTCCCCGGCAAGAATGACTATATCCGTCCTTTTGGAGGAACGCAGAAGTTCATGTAGTTGTTGGTAAAGCTATCTTTAACTGCATCCGGGCTGCAGTCTGTAGGGGCGTAGGCGGAGACGACAAATAAGACACGCTTAACATCTCGACGCCTGCTTACGTTACATGAACCTCTTAGTCTGACTGCACATAGTCGGCTGTTGACTGGGATCCAGTCAAGCAGAGCTGATTCAGCCCTGGCACTTAATACAACCCCAACACCAGCTTGACCAGTGGCGGCAGCTTCTGGGTCTCCGGAAAGCCGCAAGTAGTGTTTGGCGTCAGAGTTTACCGGAGAGGCCATTCTGATGACGGCGCTAGAGTCTTGTAATCTGGTCTCTGAAAGACAACAGATGTCTACCGATAGCGTTTCAAGAGTACGGGCCAGACATGCTTGTCGTCCGATCTGCATCAAAGTTCGAACATTAAACGCTGCGAGGATGAATGGAGAACCAGGTCGAAGAAGAGCTGGAGCTTCGGTGGAGTGAGAGGCGGTTGCGATCGCAGGACATTGAAAACCGGGAGTTTGGCTGTTACTTCCATCAGCTGCGAGACGTGGGTCGTTTGTGACGGTGACCGTAGAAGACACAAGAGTACATGTAGGTGAAGGACGGGAGGTGGGGTGGTCTGTGAGTGGACGTTGAGCGGTTGAGTTAAGACAGAAGAGCGGCATAGCAGTAGTAGTAGTGAGCGGTGTAGTCCATGATTCGTCAGTGGGCGTGATACTACCCGGTTGCCCAGGCCGAAGTAGAGGGTTGTCTTAGGGGGCCCTACCCCGAGCCTTTGATCAAAGATCTAACCTACAAGGCAGCAGGGCGATGTGAGGGCGTCGCAACCCGTTGGGAGCCGGTGACCAAGTAGATGGTTCATACGCCTTTCGGTCCGTGAAGGACCAGGGGCCCAACTCACCCTTAAAGTACAATGCCTCTCAGGGAGGGGCAAGGGGCAGTGACTTTATTTAGTGGCGAGTCACATCCGCCACGTCGCAGTGTTGTTAAACGGACATATGTGGCTTTTTATAGGGAGAACGCTTGCCAGGCGAAAACCCACCACGTCCTGGAACACTGCCGCCGAACCATTCGCTGGAACGGGAAAAACCCGAACCACCCAGCTGGCACCACGAGGAGGTTGTTCGGCAAGCCAGCTTCCATGG